AAAACAATCAAATTAATGACTAGACAAGTTTGCTAATAGAATTCTTCTAGCTTGTTAAGCATCCATTTGTTCAAAGGATTATTTCAAAGGTCAAACCATAGTATATTGTCATGTAGTAATTGGATTCCAGTATCAAGAATTGATACCAAGTTCGTGTAACCATGTTCTAATTGATGATATCATAACCAACATTAAAATTTTACAAATAATTTAATTTTTTTTTTAATATCTAAAATACTAACCATCAGTATATCAAGTGTCTTTTGCAGCAACGATTTTGCAAAATACCTCTCTGACTTGAAAAGATGAATGGAATCCAAAGTCAAAACATTTTATATCTGGAAACCCTTTGCCAAGGTTAAAGAGACCCTCACCTTTTTTACTCTCTAGCAATACATGTGTTGCTCAAAATTGGTTCAATTTCTTTGTATCGTCGGTGGACAGACTTATACTCCCCCAAAACACAAGAACTACGCGTCAAGGCCGAACAACTGTTAGACAACGCCTTTCCAACCTTTTCTGAAACCATTTCGTCGCGCACCAATGGGACTACTTCGAATGTCAGTCCTTTGAATGTCAGTCCTTTAGGTGTTAAAATCCTATCTCCTGTTGATACTTCAATGTGTTGTCGGTGGCTACTAGAAAAATCAAATTCACCTTATGCCCTAATGTTTGCTTCTGCGAGATTAAAGAGTCTGGTCTTGGATTTTTCGTGATTTACGTGGATTCCTTTCGGCCATTCAAAACAGAAAAAACTTTTTGGTTTTTTTTGAATGGTTTTATCCTGATCATATGCAAGTTCTTTATAATGCTTTAGAAGCATGTTCTAATGATACTCTTTCTGTAACTTTTCTCAAATTTTTTCTCGAATTTGTAAATAATCGTTCTACAAGATTAAATTTCGACATTTCATCTCCAAATGGGATACTGATATTTCGTGAAACAAGGTACAATTAGAATTAAGCGATTTCTAGAATCTTTATTATTTCTTTATGAATAATCTTAATTGATTTTATTTAATTTAATTATAAAAAGCAAAGTAATATCATTGTATGGTAAGTACTACAATCATCAATTAATA